GGAACCAGAAGTCATGCTCGGTATGTTCGATGTCAATTCCACTCCTGCCACTGGTATTTTTGATTCTAGAGCTTCGCATTCTTTCATGTCACAAGCATTTGTTAGAACGCATAGCATACCCTTATGTTCCATGAAAGATCCCATATTAGTAAACTCATCAGGAGGTAGTATGCAAGCTTCTTATCGTTGTCTTCCAACTAGTCTATCCTTAAGGGGGCAGAGTTCAAAGTGAGCCCCATTGTGTTGAGAACATCTGACATTGATGTGATTCTGGGTATGGATTGGATGATGCAAAACCAGGCAGTCATTCAGTGTCAAGAGAAGGTAGTTGTTGTGACCGCACTGAATGGGGATAGAATCAGTGTCGATGTTGTAGTACAAGCACAGCCGACAGCCACAGTGAACTAGCTTGATGATCACGTCGACAAGGAGGACCCAGTAGTGGATGAGTTTCTGGATGTGTTCCCCGATGACTTGCTAGGTATGCCACCTGACCGTGATATTGAGTTTATTATTGAATTATTACCTGGAACTGCACCTATAGCTAAGTGTCCATATAGAATGAGGGTTAATGAACTAGAGGAACTTAAGAAATAGATAAAGGAGTTACAGGAGAAAGGTTTCATTCGTCCTAGTTCGTCACCTTGGGGAGCATCGGTTATATTTGTTGACAAGAAGGATGGTACCTAGAGGATGTGTGTTGATTATCGGTCACTTAATGAGGTTACCATCAAGAACAAGTACCCGCTACCTAGAATTGATGACTTGTTTGATAAGTTGAGAGGTGCTTGTGTTTTCTCAAAGATTGATCTTCGTTCTAGTTATCATCAGTTGAAGATTCGTGCAACTGACATACCTAAGACAACTTTTACTATGAGGTATGGTTTGTATGAGTACACCGTTATGTCCTTTGGTTTGACCAATGTGCCTGCATACTTTATGTACTTAATGAATAAGGTGTTCATGGAGTTTTTGGATAAGTTTGTGGTGGTATTTATTGATGATATATTGGTATTCTCCAAAATAGAAGAAGAGCACGCAGGACATCTAAGGTTGATCTTGCAGAAGCTCAGGGAACACAAGTTGTATGCTAAGCGAAGCAAGTGTGAGTTTTGGTTGAAGGAAGTTTCTTTCCTAGGTCATGTTGTCTCTAATGGTGGAATAGCAGTAGATCCAAGCAAGGTGAGAAATGTGTTGAATTGGAAACCACCAATCGATGTGGGAGAGATTCGTAGTTTCTTGGGATTGGCTGGATGCAACGGAAGATTCATAGAAGGGGTTTCTAAATATGCCAAGCCTATGACAGCTCTATTGGAGAAGAATGATAAGTTTGTGTGGTCTGAAAAGTGCCAGGCTAACTTTGAAGAATTGAAGAAGAGGTTGACTACCGCCCCAGTATTGGTTTTGCCAGATTTGAGCAAGAACTTTTCTATCTATTGTGATGCATCTCGTCAAGGTCTTAGATGTGTTCTTATGCAAGAAGGAAGAGTAGTGGCCTATGCATCCCGACAGTTGAGAAAAGCATGAGCTAAACTATTCTACTCATGATTTGGAGTTAGCAGCAGTGGTTCATGCTTTGAAAATATGGAGGCACTATCTTATCCGACATAAGAGTGATATCTATACCGATCATAAGAGTCTAAAATACATTTTCACTCAGACAGATCTGAATATGAGACAGCATCGATGGTTGGAGTTGATTAAGGATTACGATCTGTAAGTACACTATCATCCTGGGAAGGTGAACGTTGTTGCCGATGCTCTTAGCAGGAAGAGTTACGCCAATGGGGTGCAAGTGACATCTATGTCAAGTGAGTTGTGTGCTGAACTTAAGCAACTAAACTTGAGTTTTGTCACTAATGCAGTAAAGTTGGTGATAGAGCCTACACTAGAGTTAGAGATACGCAAGGGTCAGTTATAGGATAAGAGGTTAAAGGAAATCACGGAGAACATAGTGATTGGTAAGGCACTAGGTTTCTGTATGGATGATAATGGAACTCTATGGTTTGGGAAAAGACTATGTATGCTTGAGAATAAGGCTATACGAGATGCAATTCTTCGTGAGGCACATGAGTCTGCTTAGTCTATTCATCCTGAGAGTACCAAGATGTATTTGGATCTGAAAGAGAAGTATTGGTGGTATGGACTTAAGAGGGATGTGGCTGAATATGTTGCTTTATGTGATACATGTCAGAGAGTCAAAGCTGAACATCAAAGAACTACAGGATTATTACAACCAATGAAGATACCTGAGTGAAAGTGGGAAGAAGTTGGTATGGATTTTATTGTTGGGTTACTATGCACTCAGAGAGGTTATGATTCAATATGGGTAATAGTAGATCGATTAACTAAGCTTGCTCACTTTATACCGATTAAGACTCGTTATAAAGGACCGAAGTTGGCCCAATTATATATGGAGAAGACAATGTGTCTACATGGAGTTCCCAAGAAAATTGTGTCTAATCTAGGTACTCAATTTACATCTCATTTTTCGCAACAAGTACATAGTTCGTTGGGAACAAAGTTGAATCTTAGTACAGCATATCATCCTCAGACATATGGACAAACTGAGAGAACTAATCAGATTTTAGAGGACATGTTGAGAGCTTGTGCTTTGTAGTATGGTACAAGTTGGAACAAGAGTTTGCCTTATGCAGAGTTCTCGTATAACAACAGTTATCAGAAGAGTCTCAATATGGCACCTTTCGAAGCTTTGTATGGACGAAAGTGTAGAACCCCGTTGTTTTGGAATCAAACGAGAGAAACTCAAGTGTTCGGACCGAATGTTTTAAGAGACATAAAAGAGCAAGTAAGGATGATTAGGGATAACTTGAGAGTGGCACAATCTTGACAGAAAAGTTATGCTGACACTCGGACAAGAGAATTGGTTTTTAAAATAGGGGATTATGTTTTCCTAAAAGTATCACCAATGAGAAGTGTGAGAAGGTTTAACATGAAAGGAAAGTTAGCACCAAGGTATATTGGAGCAGATACCGTTAGAGGAGCTTACCGTTAAGGAAGATCTTACATATAAGGAATTTCCGGTAAATATTTTGGAGACAACAGAAAGGGTTACGAGGAGCCAAATTATAAAGATGTGTAAGGTTCAGTGAAATCGGTATACAGAAGATGAGGATACATGGGAAAGAGAAGATGATTTGAGGAAAACATACCCACAGCTTTTTGAGTAAGCATCATCCGAATCTCGAGGATGAGATTCAATTTAAGGGGATAGAATTGTAACATCCTAAAAATTGCATCATTTTGAAATAGGAGAATTGGATTTAATTATGCATTTTGTGAGCATTTTGTCGGTACAGAAAGTGACCAACTAGTGAATATTTATAGTTTTGCTGTACGTTGTGATCGGAAGTGGCCTAGCACTCAATGACACAAGATTTAGACTGGTTCGGGCAACGTGCCCTACATCCAGTGTGGGTCTATTGGTGACTTTATTCCTGAGCCTAGGTGCTTGAAGTCTGTAGTGGGGGTTACAAACGAGAAGGAGAAAGGAGGGGTGTACGAGAGGCCCGGTCGGGTCCGACCGGAAGGGCCGTGGGCGACCAGAACTCCGCTATGAGCTAGGTGTTGAAGCGAGTGCTTGAGGGGTTTCTGAGCTATCGATCTAGTGAGCCTGAGCTTGAAGAAGTGGACCTCTGGGAAATCGATCTCCTTCGTTGGAGGGAGCGCATCCCCTTTTATAGATAAAGGGGATGGCTTTACAGGTGAGAGGGAGAGAGTACGGATGTTATGAAGTCTTGATGCCCATGCCGATGAGGAGTGGATAATGGTAGGCGCCCACAACACTGTTGATGTTGCCGTAGAATGTCAGGCGCATGTGGGAGGTTCCGGTGGCTTCTTCAGGAAGGGTGGACATCGGTACCTGCAAAATACTGTTGGTGTGTGGGGATCCCCACCACGTGTACTGTATGGTGGATCCGGCGCCTATCGATGCCCGCAGAGGCATAGGGGCCTTTTTGCCGTATGGGAGCCCAATGGCGCCGCAATATCTTGAGACACAAATGTCGGTGCCTACAACATCGCTTTCGTCGTGTCGGCGGTCGTGGAGCACTATTTCCGAGGCGTCTGTGGTATGGTCCCGAGATCGTGGTTTGACTTAGTGCGCCGCCTTCTCGGTTCGCCCTGGTCCTTCCGAAGCGGGCGCCCCGGTCGGATGGCTCATCGGCACTGGCCGCGCGCCGATCGAAGAAGAGCGGTACGCAGGCTTACTACGGGTCCCCGGTCGGAGTCGCGGGGTCGGAGTAGGAAGCAGCGTTTTGGGCCAGGCTTTCCAATCGGAGTAACCAAGACTGCAACCGGCGCCGCCGCCGCCGCCGTCGCGGTAGACGGACCGCCCGATTGCACGACGACGACGCACGCTGGAGCCGGCGGCGAGAAGAACGTGGCGGCGCCGCCGCCGATGGACAGCACGGTGGTGGCGACACTACGACCGCCGCCGGCGAACATGTTCGCCAAGGTGCACATGGAGGGGCTACGCGATTGGCAGGAAGATCAACCTGAGGGCACAAGGCGACTACGACTACCTCTCCAGGGTGCTCACCAACATGACAACAAACTTCTTCTGCCGTAAGCACAAGCAAACTACCCCCTGCAAAATGAAAACTTGTTTTATTTTTATTTCTGGAGAGGAATCCTCAAACTGAGTGGCCCAATTTGAATTAATACTCACCCAATCAGACCAAGCCCATAAACTGAGTTGGACCAGTTCGGTTAAGATTAGCCCAACCAGCCCATGGCCAAGCTAATTTTTTTTAAGGACATCTTGGAACTGAGTGGCCCAATGGGATCAATATAGCCCAATCAGCCCATAGTCTATGCATTTAATATTTATGTCTATTTTCTTTAAAATGAATAGGCAGGAGAGCTGCCCACTATATTAATAAAAACAAAAAAGTGAAGCCTAACAACAACACAAGACTGAATAATAACAACAACAATAAAAGATTATCAATCGTTAGAGGTACTGATTCGCAAAAAAAATGTCAGAGGTACTGGTTCCAAAAAAAAAAGGTTAGAGCTAGTGGTTGCTTTGAGAACTATTATATTATATCTAGTAGATTTCTCTTGGTGCTGGTATTTATTTATTGCTTCAAAGTTGGATTCCAATTTCTCTACCATGGTGATATGTCTCGTTGATTGTTTTAAAAAAAATGAATTTCATTCTGCAAATGCAGCCGCAGACTGTTCAGGTGCAGGCACGGGAGAAAAAGATGCTCCTAATAGTGACAAAGTTCATATTCCTGTATGAAGACTTTGAGGGTGACCGAATGTTGGTTGGTGACGTTCCATGGGAGTAAGTACCTGCAGCCGATTGCTTGCCATATATATATATATATATATATATATATATATATATATATATATATATATATATATATATATATATATATATATATATATATATCATGGTTCAATATAATCTTAATATTAATATTATATATAGATATTCTGGAATGGATTCTTGGCCTGCATTAATGTTACTGCAAAATGACAACTCACCATTGCTGTAATTCATAATGTGCTGAGTCCACTAGAATTTTGTACTACTGAAAAATATATAGTATACTTTGCACATGACAAAAATTAACTAGGAAAATCATGATGGTTAACAGATTAGGAATAATCATATTTAAAATTATTTTCATGTATTATATATAGATTTTAAAATTTAGAAAATATAGCATGGAAATGCGAGGAGTTATCCCAAAGTGGGAAAAAATAATGTTGTTGTGCATTTTCTGCAGATTATTCCTAGCGTATGCTAAAAGATTGTACATTGTCCGAAACCCAGCACCAAGTGACAAAGGTAATTGCAATATAATGTTGTTTTGTTACACGTGTTCCTAGATTGACTACCATTCATTTTTAGATATACTAGCAAAAGTGCTCCTACGTTGCAATGTGTTGTTATGCGCTTTCAACATCCAAATCAGAATCCGCTCACTCGTAGTTGTCTCGCCTTGACCTTCCACTATCCTTGGTGTGCTCAACTACCTATAAGCATAGATTGATTAGCCTCTTTGTTGACATTGACTAAGTCTCTGTCGCCGTGCATATATTATTCCATCCTACCTCTTTTTGGCCTAGCCTACCACATTTTCTCTTCTTGGGCCAAAAGGCCACCGACTGCTTGCTCCCTTCTTTCTTTCCTGAGCCCCGCGAACTCCTCTTCTCCACCCTCCTGGGCCGTAAGCCTTTCGGCCCATCCCCGTGATCCTCGCCGCCACGCCACCCCTTGCAGAGCTCACCATGCCTCTCGTCTTTCCGATTTGGCCATAGCCCAAGAGCTAGCAAAGCAGCCCACCCTCTCTCTCTCTCAGGACCCAATGACAATCGGGCTCGTTCCCTCACCGCCGAAAGTGCCCCCAGCGTTGTCATCCCCTAAGTTCCTCCTTTCCCAAACTCTGCCTGCTCCTTTAATTTCCTTCTCTGGCCGAGGAGAAGCACCGAGCCGCTACTCTAGCTACTAGGTGCGCCCCCTACTCCTCCGTCCAGTCAAGGCACCGTGAATCACGCCTCCTTCACCCCCGTCCCTTCCTTTTTCTTCTCGCACGCCACAATCAGGAGCCACCATGCCCGGCGCCATTAGCAGATGCACGAGTTCCATCTCGGGCCCTCTGCTCCATTCTCTGCCCTATATACGCTGGCCCTGAGGACCATGTGTAACACCCCAGAAGAAAACAACAACAAAAATATCCTTCTGGAGTATTATCGCACTACAATCTAATAAGAGCACATCATCGGGGTACCAGTTCTTCTGGGGTGTTACACCATGCACACTCATCGCCGCCACATTGGCCCTGCCCGCATCCCCTCCCTCACTCTAGAGCCACCCCCAAATGCCATCGATGCCATGGCCGAGGTCACTGCCGTCGACCCGATCTCCTCTCTAGAGACCTCCTAGTCCATGATTTCTTCTCCCTCGGCACCACAAGCTCAACTCACATCCAGCAGACCGCTCCACGACGCCAATCCACTGCTCCATCGTCTTCCTCCAAAGGTCGCCTAAGCTCCACTGCAACCTATCATCTGTCCTCATTGACCACCGCCACCAACTCGTCTCCGCCACCCAAATCTTCACTGTCATGCTCACTAGGCCGAGCTTGGCCTCCACCATGCAGTGGTGACCCTGCCCACCAGAGCACCATCATGGCGGCCTCCTAGATGCACACCGCCACGCGAGCACGCGCCCTCCCCTGTTGCGACGGTGGCCAAGAAATAGAGCCACGTGATGGCCGTTCGATCGGCTCCCGACACCACAGATCTCTTCTTGACCCACGGTCAACCAGGTATCGAGTGGCGGTGGTGGTGTTTTTTTTGGAGAGGACGGAGCGGTGGTGACGTGCATTATGGAGACAGGAGTGGAGGAGTGTGAGTGTGAGCGGGGCGAGTGAGTGGGCTTCTAGTTGGGCCGAATGAAAAATAGGGTGGAGAGAAATTTTGCCTTTTTATATTAGGTATAGATAAAGACGATAGTGACTACCACTCATGAATCAACGTTGCTTATACCATGATATGGTTGTTACACAATTTCTTTTCAGGTCAAGGTGAAGGTGATAGAAAATATAAAACCGAAGAACCAACAAATGACTGGCACTCTTCAAGCAAGTGGTCACAAGGACATGAGCATATATGCACCATATCCTTGCACATCTCTTGATTTGGCATATATAGCTCCAAATTATGTACTTTTCTTCTTGTACTAACTATTAAGTGAGGTAGCTAGTATCTACGTGAGTTATGTTGTACCGTTGTTGTCTCCTAATCAATGTGCATATAATTTTGATCATTATGTAAGAAAAAAATCTAGAAAGGAAGAAACATGCTGTCAACATTGGTCTCAGCAGTGATAAATAAGGCAGATATATGACTTGTTAACCACTTTGTGTTTATCATGTTTCCCCCATTTTCAAATATCATCTTGCATACCAACTCAGTATTATGTGACACCAAACCCTAAAAACTGAAATCCCAATTGGGTTTTGGTCTTAGAATAATGATTTAATTTTCTTTACCTTAGTCATCATACTTAGTTAACCAAGCAGCCTGAAGAGCTTCGAACAATGTTTGATTAGCCCAAGGTTTAACCTAGGCATTATTCATTTCGCTCTATCACCACCCATGAGCTATTCAACCCCACCTATAGCTCACCCATCAACCCTGGTCAAGGCCAGCTTTGTAGTTTTGAGAGCCCTAGGGTAGAAGAGATAATATGGTCCTTTTGACCAAATATTCTTTTTTACTTGCAACATGATAAAGAATATAGTAGTAATAGTAACATGTACTTAATTCTTGAAAAAATGTTGATAATATAAACTAAAAGAGTAGTCAAATGAAACAAGAATGATTATCTTAGCTAAAAACCAAACTTCCCACAACTCCATCAATAATAATTCTCCAGTTCTATAAAACAAAACACATTTGAACATTTCTTGATGCAAAAAACTCCAGTCTTAGAATCTTACTTGACATATTGGCATAATACACAATTACAGTCATTTTGTTCTTCATGTTTCACACCTAGGTACATATCCTAGATAATAGAGAAATAGTTGGCTAAGAAAATAACTAACAAATACATAGAATTAGAAGTTTAGAAACTCTAACATCTATTAATCTAACATGCTAAGAAATTAACTAATAATACACAATGGATTGATAATGAGAAACTATGTGAAGGCACAAAATTTCCTGAGTGGCTAGGCCACTTAGCAATAGGAGAGTAGCAAAGTGTGGTTGCGTGATGTATATATGTGATATTGTGGGTCCCCTCTTGGCCTAGGCCCTAGGATGTTGCCCCTCCCGTCTAGGCGCCGAGCTAGACATGACCTCAGTTGACACACGCAGACCACCTAGTCCAGTAGATAGCCTACAGGCTACAGCTTGTAGCTTGTCGTGGACCATTTGGCTAATAGACGCTTTTCGGTACCCACACGTAGTTGGACACCTCCAAGCAACCCGACACTCCTAGTGGTTGCATAGCTCGCCACCTCAACAACTACACACTGATCCTATGGCATTCACTACTCAGTACTCCAATGCCCTAGACCTTAGCTCCTAGCGCTTTTGGATCCTGCCATGCTATGTAAGCATAATCACACACTCCTAGTGTCAGTGACCTTTCTCCTAACTGAAATACTGACCAATAGAAAATTCCAAACCATAGGTCACCAAAACTTTTGTCATTAATTCAGTTCATTTTAAGAGGACAGAATATTTCTTGAAATAACAAACTGAATTTCTAATCATATGAATGCCCACCCTAGTTCTTGGTATTCTTAAGTTTCAAGTAAATGGTGTGCATATCCTAACTCTATCACAAACTAAATAATGGTTTTAGTCTTAACATCTAAACCATATTTAGTTTACTAAGAAAAAAGTCACATGTGGTGGTGCTACAAAGATGGACACGACAGTTGGTTCGCAAGCCTTTCCTTTGTGTGACCCTCCAAAGTCTTTACCACTTCAAACCTTAGGGATTGTGGTCGAGTAGTGGTGCTATTTCTTAATGAAAACAATGATTACTATGAAATTCCTATATCTTAAATTTATTATTCCATAATCTTATTTTTCTATACAACACTAGAACATGCCCATCTCCGAATATCTTTCAACCCTTAAGAATCCCGAGCAACACTTGGTCTCCATACCTCCACAAAATTTTATACATCTAATCCCAACAAAAGAGAATAGTACTAGGGTTGGCTTCAATATACAATGGAAATTATGGTTCAACATGAAGTGACTTGAAGCATGTGAATTGAAAGAGGGTATCATAATCAAGGCTATTTTTATTTTTTGGGCATAATTGATATAAGGTTTATGTGAACTAAAGACTCCTTGTCAATGTATGAAGAAATGGTTGGGACATTCCTAAAGATGCAACCATCAGTATGAGCAATGGATCAATAAAGCAATGAAGTTCCCAACCATCAAATTAATATATAGAAGGCAAATTATTTGTGTCGGGCACTATAGTTGAGTAACATATTATGCAAGGCAAGATGGTTAGACTAGCCTAATGATTTTACCCAACCATCTTGTGATGAACTTTGGTAGCATGATGATAAATTAATAGATTTTTTCAACTAGGTCTTATTGTTCTTAGTGTTTACTATAAAATGGTCTCTTTTTAATTCTCTAAAAGTTATACCTAGCGTAATAGATAAAGGAAATCTTGATTGAAAGTGAGCTTTTTCATTTTGTTTGCTTTGTGCAAACTAATGTTTAATTAGACATATAGTGTCTGCCTTTCCTTAGTGTTGGTAGATTATATGATGCTACTATTATATACAAAATGTAAAACATATTTAAATTGTTTCTTAAACTTGAAAATTAAGAAACCTGGACATAGTTAACAATATTATTTAATTTCACGAACTCGATTACACTGATTACGTATTTACCATGATCTACATAATTACAAATCTGTCTCTTGTTCATTTTTTTTGTCTTTTCTCCTCCCCACAACTAGTTTAATATATGCATGGAAATCTAAAAAATATTATATTTCAATTAAAATTATGTATCCGCGTACTATATGTTAGTTGAATATTGCACCCAAAGAGTCATCAATGATCACTTTTCATAATACGAAACCAATACAAGTGTGCAATAGAGCAATATTGGATCCAAGATTTTACCTAACAGAATTGTTTTAGCATGTTTTTAGTGAAACAATGATGAATTTAATCTGTGAACAACAAGAGGAAGTATTGGAATTTTTGTGGATTGGTACTTCGAGTGGAAATTTTTCTACAATGCACAATTTGTATCAAATGTGGAGTAATGTATTCAATACAAGGTGGAATATTGATTTTCATAAACACATGATGAGATATGATTTGTATTTATTGTAAAATAAAGAGAAAATTCTACAAAAGCATAGAACCTATGAAGGAAAAAACCATATAATACAGACAAACCGGTTTCATCACCATGCTATGGAGTTTAAGAAAGTAACTTAAAAAACCAGTTGATTTGTTTTCTACACGTAAAGAAGACAACAAACCGCGTGGCTGCATATGTACTGGTGAAGGTCAATTATTATGTAACATAAATGCAATGCAACATTTTTTAAAGAGTGAGATATGCTGAAATTTATTCATAGGACATTAAATGTTATAGATATATACTTGCAAGTCAACCACTTATTTTCAATTGAGCCCCTTATACTATTGAAAATATATATATGTCCAGATGAAAAGACTAGCTATCTTGGAATAATTTTTTAAAATACTATATTATACAAGGGTAGTTGTGAATAATGGCTATGCTAGCTGAACTTCATTTAATAGTAGGGTCACTCCATGTGTTATAAATACCCACAGTTGGCATTCGACTCGGTATGCCTATTGTGATCTGCACGGATATCATCTGTCAAGGTTAGGAGAAACCTTGCATCCCTACATTTCATTTGTTTCCATTTTTTCAATATTAGAATCATTATTCTCTCTTTGACACAAGATATGCAATTTTTCCTAGTGACAACTAATTTGGGCATCTTAATAGATATATATCAGAGCGTACTAGGAGTCCGGCACTAATCTCTTATGGATGAGATCAAGAGTATCAATACTTACATTACGCTTTGAGGTTGAGGTGCGCCCTAGATTCTCACCATCAATGTTTGTGAAGGTTTTCATGCAAGGTGAAGTTGTTGGGAGGAAGATAAATCTGGCCACTCACCAGAACTACGCCTCGTTGTCCTTCACCTTAAAAAGATTAGGCAACAACTATTCCAGTAAGTAAAACTTCTCCATACACATCTTTGGTCAATATGTCGATGTAGTTGTTCTTGATTCACTTGGATTTGTAGCATTAATTGAATAAATCTTTGACTATGATCCATCCAACTCAACATACTTGTTTACACCAAGAATGATATCCTAGTTTCTAACTTATATCACCCTAGCAACCAATTTATAGAGGATCTAGATTATAAATACTATCTAGTAATTATGGCACATATGTAATCTTCGAAGATCTTGAGTCAATTTCTTTCTTCTGATGTATGCAAAATCATGAGGGGCAAGAATTGACATTAGAGTATCTTGTAAAATTGCATCTTTTAATTGGGATCAAGCATTCAGAGGATCTATTATATAATGTTTTGCTGATTTTCTCTTGAAGTGGAAATCAAACAGTATAGACTACCATAATTGTGCATCAACTGTGAGCGTAGCTGGAGGTATGATGGGTGCACAGCTCCATTTCCTAGGTTCAAGTCATGTTTGCCTCTATTTTTTGGCACCTTTTTTTCTTAATATAGAATTGTAAGGTTAGGTGCCTCCCACTTTCTACTTTTACAAGTACTTAATCTATCAAAAGTGTTCTTCTATAGAGTAAGTGGTATTGGATTCACTTCCATTTTTCATGTAACACAACTATAGATTTCTTACAAAATCATTATAAATTTATTTAAGGACACACAACCACATACGTACATCACAATTTAAAAATATATATAATCAAGCTCGAATATGGCAATACTAATTTATTCATTTTTGTTCAATTTTATAGTGCCATCATGTGAACTTAATGGGTTAGTAAACAATGAAGTTGATGGGGCATCAGATGACAACAACTTCATTCTTTTCTATGATAACGTGGATGGTGATCGTTTCTTCCTTGGGGAAGTTCCATGGGAGTAAGTCCTTC